TATTCATTCTCCTTCCTTCGCGGCCAGTTCACGAACAGTCTGCAATATATTTTGCAGAGTATCCATCTCGTAGGTAAATCCCGAGTTTTCATCCTTCTTGCGCAGCTCACTTAGCTCATGCCATAGCGTGCCATTGCCTCCGTTTTGGCCAGACTCGGCACCTTGTGACTTACCGTTGTTGTTATTGTTGTTGCCGTGGCTGCTATTGCTACTGCTGCGTGTGGTGTTAGGGAAAATTTTCTTGACGCCGCCGGTTTTTTCACTGGTAGCGTTTTTCACATCCTTCGTCTGCCGGAATTGCCCGGATGACATCTTTACAAGGTGCGGCCTTCCCGAATTTGGGTTGCTGGCATGGCTGTCGTTGGCATTTTGATTGGCATTACTAGTAGTGCTGACATTATTGAAGTTGCACGGTGTGGCGACCGCAGACCCTCCGTCCTCCAGGCAATGGAAACCATGTACACACTCGTATAGTCCTGTCTGTTTATTAAGCTGCAAGTGATTCATAGAACGCACGTTGTTATGCAGACTGCAAATACCCTCCTCCCGCACCTTTCCACCACGTCCCTTACGATTGCTACCCACATGAGGAGATGCATTGCCTGTGAAGGAGTTAGCTCGTGGGCTTTCATAACTGCTAGCCGGGAGATGTGCTACCCACGGCGCAGAACCTGCAGTGGCACCAGCGCCAGCAGCATGAGTTGCAAAGTGCCCAGCCGCCGCGGCCTGTTGTTGCTGTTGTTGTTGTTGCTGCTGCTGTTGTTGTTGTTGTTGCAAGATCAAATGAAGTGCCTTTTCACAACGCATCCGAATGAAAGGGGCAAGCACCGGGGACTCCTCCGCGAGTGAGTAGAGGACCCACAGAAGTACTTCTCGAGGGCACATTTGAAGGACACTTTGTGTAAGAAAAATCTCTTGATCAGTCGGGGCCGCATGTGCAAGCTGATACTGTGGGTTTTGGCACTGCATGCTTAACAGGTAGGCTGCGTTAGCAGATGGACTATCAACGGCAATCACGTTCCCCCCGGTGTACCTACTTCCTGTCCCAAATACAAAGGCCGGGGCATTTGAATTCAGCGGCATGGAACTTGTTTCTGTTACCGCCGTCACTGTCGTCGTGGTGGTGCCGCTGCTCATTCCTCCATCAAGGACGACAAACGGGGTGGTGGTTCCATGTGGCTCCTGTGCCTTCATGTCGAGCTTCTTCTCATCCAGTTTGGGTATCGTAAACTGCTTGCGGACATTGCTTGGTGTGGCGTCGTTAAACTCTGGGCCGGAGCTATTCGCCTGGGTGCCTGCCACCGTGCCAGATGCCGACGGTGCCGCGTCCCCCTCCAACATGCTGCAGAATTCTTTAAAACCCCGCTGATAAAACAAAACAACGAGAACAAAATGTCAAAAGGAAAAATAAAATAAAAAATACCCCTTAAAAAAAAAAAAAAAAAAAAGGGCTAAAGAACGTGACAATGTCGAATGATCTTTATGCGTTGTCCTATTCCTCAATGATGACCACTGTGGTTCTTTAACGGACCCTATTCCTCCAAACAAAAGGTTTCCTTCCTGTTGTTTGGTTGCGTGCGTAATTTGTCTAGCGGCTTTTCTTCTTTTTATTTATTTATTTATTTATTTGTTGTTGCCTCTCTGTGTGCCTGCTTTTGTTTTGCTGCTGCCCCCTTTCCTCCTTCCTTCTCCTTTCTGATGGTCAAATATATAAATGTATATATCCCCTTTCCTTTCCCTTCTCTTTGTAAATTTCTCTTCTTTTCTTTTTTTTTTTTTTTTTTTTTTTTTTCTTTTCGGTTATCCGTGACACCTGAAGGAAGACGCAATTGTTTATTTTCTTCGCTTGACTTTAGGCGGTTGTTGGGTTGACGTGGGCGCCTCCTGCCTCTTCAGTCTCGTTGCACAACTTCACAAAAATAACAGCGATGCTCTCTTTTCTTTTTTCCCTCTTTATTTCTTTCCAGGCGGGGTCGGTGTCAAAGAGAAACAAACAAACAAACAAAAAAAAAAAAAAAACAAGCAAACAAAAATTATTAGCGGACGAAAAATAAAAGAAAGAAAAAAAACACACACCTCCTTTTTAAAAAGAAAACGTCGGCACGTAAATACACACGCACACAAGAAAGGAAAAGAAAAGAAAAGAAAAAAGGAGAGAGACAGACGACAATAATGATGAATAATAACAAAACAAAACATGCAGCAACAACAGCAACAGAGGGAAGCAGCCGTGGAAGACAGACGATCATCCACACGGGACGAGTCTCCCCTCCTCTCCGCAAGAGGGGAAGAAGAGGAGAAGCGCCATGCTGAGAGGGGGAAAGTCTCAAGAGGGGAAATACGAGAGTCCAATGCGTTTCTCTCAGTGGACAAAAAACAAAAGAAGGAAGAAGATGCAAAAATCACAATGAAGACTATATTTATATGGACAAAAACAAAAATGATGTCCCGTGCTACGTCGATCAATAAATAATCCGTGCCTTGTTCATTCCCTTCGTCGCAGACTCGCTCTTGCTTCGCATATCGGGCTTTCTAAGGAACTCGTCTGAAAATTTCTCTCCCAAAGCCAACATGTACGGCAGTGAATCGCCTATCAGCGGTGAGCAAAAAACACTTTCGTCGCACACGTAAACATTGTCAGTGTTCTTCACACGAAATGTGGCCTGGTCCAAGACTGGGAACGACGCCCCACCGTAGATGCTTGCGGATTCAAAGCGCTCCGCAATCATATCGGTGAAGATATTCGAAAAAGGCAGCATCTTGGTTAGCTCTTTTATACGAGCAACCGCCTTGCAAAGGGCCTTTTCGTCATCCGGGTGTGTCAAGTACTTCGGGTCAATCGTCCCATCTGCACGGATGCAGCCACGGCTTTTAGGGCGCACAAGCTGAGCAATAATTTGCACCCCATGCTCCACTCCTTTTGGGGTGGAGCCGTCATTGTTCATCGTGAATGGCTGAAAAATAAATTTTACGTCCGGTGTTTGCTCCCCACTGCTGGACCAATAGCAGATCATGTCATCGTACGCAGAGCACAGTGCATGCAGCGGGTTGCCGTACCTGAGGTTTATTCCTATGCACATCTGTACAATTGGCTCCATGAAACAGTTGTGACTTAAAGGAATGCGGGTTCGGAACTGCATCTTGACCTGCGGTTTGTCCCAGAAATTTGTACCCACCGCGGGATCGATTGAAAGTGTTCCCTGCGAACAGGCGAGCAAACGGGGTGTGCCAATTCCCCCGGCACACAAAATGACAGCATCCGCCCCCACGTGTTCCGTCTCGCCATTCGGCCGAACATAAGTTACACCAGAGGCCGTCACCTTGGTGTTGTCTATTGCGTTGATGCCAATAACCCGCGCGTTACAGACGACCTCCAGCGGCCGCTTCAAGGCAATGGCATCAATCAAATAACTCTGCAGGGTTGTATGGGCGATCCCAGATCGTTGGTCAACAAAAGATTCGGCACGCCCGCAACCAGGACGAACGTGGTACTCCTTCCCGTTGAATGCACTGGTCAAGGCCGTGTCCTTTGACATCGCCTCACAGAATACCTTGAAAAAGGGAGACAGCGCCTGCGAGCGCGAGATAAAAAACTTGCCACGTTTTCCACGGTGCGGTGGGGGGTCCTCCAAGTTTTCAAGACGCTGCACCCGAGGAAGTAACTCCTCGCGGAAACTCCACCCGGCGCCATCCCAGTCGTTCTGATCGCCGAGGTTCCACGAGCGGCCGCCCATAATACCGCCGCCGCCAAGTACACGTGGGGTGGGTATCATCACCGGCGCCAACGGGTCCTCGGCGCGGTGTGTCTTTTGGGGCGTCGTGAAATTTTCACAACTTTCGTAGTTGCGTCGCGCGAAACGGTGGATAAGAAGACTGCAGGGGATGCTTCGATACCACCGCGGCTTTTTTCGGATGTCGTCTCCCTCCTCAAGCACAATAGTACTTAAGTTCTCCATTGCAAGACGTCCGGCGACAAGACAACCGGCAAGACCGCCACCCACAACGGCGACATTGTAATTCGCACGTCGCAAAGTAAGCGTACGGTACATTCCCGTCTAGCTGCACCGCAAGGGACTCTACCAGCCCTTTCCTATCCTCTAACCTACGCTTAAAAGAAAACGCAAACCACCACCACACCGACAGACACAAATAAATAAATAAATACATAAATACATATTTATTTATTTATAAAAAGAAAGAAAAAAAGAAAAAGTAAAGTGGAGGCCTTCTTCTTTTAAATGCAAATGCACAGAATGTGCTCCTGCTGTTAGAAGGGTATTAAAGTAAAGATGTTCCGTTTTGTGGTAAATGCCAATCTTCCCGTGGAATTAACACATATATATCTAAATAAATATAAATATAAATATAAATGTATATATAAATACAATAATTACACAAATGGAGAAAGCGCATGCAATAATTTAACGACAAAAAAAAAAAAGCAGAAAAAAAAACGCACAGCAATTCTGTTGAAAAACAAAAAAAAAAAAAAAAAAGAGAAAAACATGCGCTAAATGCATTTGCACAAAGGAGGGCTTTTTTTTTTTTTTTTGCACTCTTTGCCGAACTTGAAACTTTAAGAGACATCGCATTCTCTGTTTGCCTAAATCCAAATAAACACAAACAAAGCACCGGGAAGGGAAGTAAAAAAAAAAAAAAAAACACGCACCAACACACACAGACAGAAACACAAACAGAAAAAAAGAAGAAGTGATAAAAACTAAAACATGCATGGAGAATCAAATAAGATGCGCACTTCTGTGCCGTATTTATGGGCGTATTTTTTAGTGACTCCAAAGTTGAATGGATAGTGCGTGTAAGATGTTACGAAAAAACTTGGCAGAAGGCAACAACAACAACAACAACAAAAGAAGAAGAAGAAGCAAAACGCACAAACAAAACACGAGCCAGTGAGAAAATGAACCCCAAGAACACAGGGAACCGACAAAAAAAAATAGATGAAGAGAAGAGAAAGAATGTACCTGCACCACCTTTGATCGCTACTGTAGAAGATGACGATTAAATGCGTCCTCACACACAATCAGTTGTGCAATCAGGGGAATAAATCTCTGATGCTCCTCGGGCAACATGTCCGCCACACGCTGCATCGCTTCGTCGTCGTCGACAGCTATGTTGTTCATTTGACGATATGAAGCTATCAGTGCGGACTCGCCCAACTTGTTCTCAAGGAATAAACGAAGCGATTCGATGCGGTGCATCAGCGGGTCTGTTGCCTGAACATTTGGAAGGATAAGTGTCTGTCCGTCTAGCATGAACTTTGACGGATCTGTGTCGAAGAAGGCCTCATCGTTAAAGTCGTTCGCATTCGCGCGCTTCTCATCTTGCGTCAGTGCAGCGTCAATAGCAGTT